TTAAACACTTCGAGTTCCTAACCGTTCATGCAAAGTGAGTGTGGTCTGGTATCTACTCTTAGGCAAAATGAATCAGGAGCATAAAGACCTCAGAGATGAATTGGGACCCTTCTCTATGTAAGGTGTCTTTACTCTTTCTTTTTACAAGCTTTTTTTTATAGGCAAAAGCCTCAGGCTTTTATTTCAAGAAACATGTTTGAAATGTATTTTGCTGTAGAGCGGGTAATATTAACAGAGAGCTTCCTACGTCACTGTTAGAATTTATGGCTAAAGTGGATACTTCAGATGAAAGCAAACCTTCGTAACAGGTTGCATTCACAAGTAAAGTTCTACCCTGTTTTAAAGGGAGACTGAATTTTTGATGTTTTAGTCAGGGCTGAGGATCATCATCATCATCGTCACAGTTGCCATTTTTTCACCCAAGATCTTAAAGCATTCCACAGTGACAGGTACTGTTATATTTTTTTACTGTCCAGGTTAGAGAAATCAAGGACATGAAGTGTCAGGTGACTTGCTCAAGGTCATGCAGCAAAGCTGTGAATATAGATAATTCCCATGTGGCCTGTTAAAGTGTATTACCAGAAACTCTGGAATCCTTTTTCTAACCCCTCGCTTTGCCGAATGTTTATGTATGAGCTGAGGCAGCTTAAACAAGGAGCGCTAGAGAACTTCTGGGTACGGATTTGTTTAGCAGAATGGGCAAGGTACAAGTGCTTAGAGATTTTTAAGCAACAACTGCAACTGAGTAATTGAAATCTTTCTGGAACTGGAGGGCTTGAGAAAAGATCAGCTATCTGCAGGCGCTATTAGTGAGTGCTCATGGCTTTTAAATACATTCTACAAAAGCTAATTCACTGGAGTTGAGGCAAATACAGTAAATATAAGCAATTGCAGCTGAAAGAGAAAGAAAGAATAAGGAACCTGCGAGGCAGGTACTTTGGGTTAAGTACCTTTTGCAATATTACAGTGCCAGTGTGAAACAAGCAGCGGGAGCTAGAAAGCTGAAGGCAGGTTTTGCACAAACAGTGCCAAATGTGTCAGTGGAGTTACTGCAATGTTTAAAGCGGGAACGTAGCATCAGTTATGACTATTTAAAAAAGAAAAAAGGGGGAGGTTGAGGGAGAGCCTGGCTCCTTGCAGCTCCATCCTCGTGGTGTTCTTCCCCAGGCTCTGCATTGACGTCACAATGACACGGTGAAGCCGAAGACAGGAGCTGGGAACAGTTCTTCTGCTTCACTTCTGATAATCGAGTGAATTTGTCGCCACTCCGTTCCTTCCAGCATGGCTAAGAGCGCAGAAGTGAAGCTGGCGATCTTTGGTCGAGCTGGCGTGGGCAAGTCAGGTATGTTTGCTGTCTGATTTTTTTCTTCTGCTTGTCATCAGGTAACTTTTTGCTCCCTCTGTGCAGACAAACTCTTTGTACAAAAAGACAGCTGTGACCTTATTCTTGTCAGGGAGGTCAGGATCAGGCCAGGAGTGCTCTCTTTATTGCTTTCCACACTGTTTTCTCCAGGTTCTCCAGAATAAAAGTACTTTTATCGCTTTAAAAAAAAACCCAACAACAACAAAAAACCAAACTTCTCACCCCAACTTAATCCCACTTCTCATAGAGTGGCAAGATTCCCCTTTCCATTGGAACAGAACTAGTAATATTTAATTCGTCTCTTCATAGCTTGTGCTAGATGAAGGTATTTATATTATGCTTCCTATCCTCTAAGATCAGATCCTCTGTTAAATATTGGATGACTTCTGTAATAGCTGTAATTCTGGATGATTTCAGTGGGAAATCATCCAGACTCAGCAACTCAAAGAATTTTTCTCAGTGCTCTCTTGGATTTACATATTTACCAGGAAACCAAGAAAATATGATGTGTAAAGTTTTTGCATTTGGAGAGATCTTTTGAGAAATAAACATAGTCTGGTGAGTTCATATGGTAGAAACACAAGGGGGAGGCATAAATGTTAAAAATCCATTTCTACAGACAGCCTTTCCTTCAGTGAGACAAGGAGTGTAACGCAAGGGTTGCAGCTCTCTTGGGTAGTTTGGTGGTGTTGCATTAACGGGACAGCTCCAGGGCCACTCTAATCTGTCCTTGCACCACAGGGATGAGGAAATAAGGAGACTGAGTCTAATCATGCTCTTGTGCCAGTTTGGGAATTTTAAGATACTGTTTATTTTAGAGAAATCTGCACAAGAGAAGCCAGGAGGTAGGACGTACCGGTGAGAGCATTAGACTAGACTCTCAGGGGCTGTCACCCAGGTCCGGTTCCCCAAAGTAACTTTTATATTAGAAGTGCCAAGGTTCTGGCCCATAAACTGCTATTATAGTTCTGTTAACTTTGGAACGGGTTGTTGATAAAAGCATGTTTACTCAGAAGGTATTTTACCAGAACGCTATCAGTGGAGTACCCTCTGTCAGCCTTCAGGAAAAAAGGCGTATGTGAGGCAGAGGTTGTTAGAGATTATACTGCTTATACAAAGACAATGCAGATTAAGTCCTACCTTTTTGAATAAAATACCTGAGGGAATGCTGATAATATACTGGGATAAGTTTAAACTGTTCCTTCTCTCCTGCTGCACCCACCCCCACCCCTCTTTTGCATTTGTATTTCACTGTCCCCTCCAAGTTTTGCAAGTAACTTCAGTGGTTCTCCTTTTGGTTTGTCTTACATTTGGTTGAGGGTTTCTGTGGTTGTCCAGTCTTTTGGCTGGATTAAAAATAATGCAAGAGGATGTTGAAGTATTTGCAGGAGAACTGTAACACTAAAAGACTCCCCTTGCCCTGATATTCCGAGCCATTTGAGAGCTTATGTTTAAAAAATAGAAAAACTACCAGTTGAGTGCTCAGTTAAAATGCCTTACCAGTGTAGGATCAACAAGAGCCTTTTTAACCTTTTTTTTTCTTTTTGTAGACTTCACTGTACTAGGATTTTATGGTAAAAATGTTTTTCCTGTAGTCCTGGAACTGGGTGGGAGATCATTTTTAATGAAAAGCCAGTAAAAACATCCTAGTCTTTCAGAGTTCTCCTCCTCTCTCTCTTTTCTTTTTTCCCTTTGAGATGCAAGGAAATATTACATAAAATATGACTAAGGTCCCCTCTTTTTGATTGTGACCACGCATGTGAATCTGCGTGGAAACGAAGGCGCAAATAAGTGGGCAGCACAACAGCCTGAATTTAAGTGGGTGGAGAGACTACAGAGTGCTATCCGCCACCTCAACAGAGCAGCAACTGTGCCTCCCAGAATCTCCAGCTTGCTTATGAAAACCCCTCTTGTATGTTCCCATAAAAGGGATCCAGTTTCAACAGCTCGGCCAACTCCAGAGAAATAAGTGTGTGTGTGGGGGGGGTGTGTCTGAAAATACCTATTTGCCTGTAGCCAACAGTAGGAGCTATAGAAGTGCTGTTACACCTTTGCTAAAAGCAGAGCTGGGCGCAAAGGAGTCTTCAGATAGTTGGGTTTGGAGGATAAGCGCCCTGCTAAATTAGTGTTGATAGTGTCTTTTTTTAGTAATGTAATTCCCTATCCCTGTGACCAGCTTGTAATACGTTGTTGAGACAGGATCCTGTGGCCGTAGGTTACTAGAGTAGGCTTGGCCAGACAGCTGAAAGATAAGCCAGACTCTGGAAGCAAGAATGCAAGGCAGAATGCTGGAGACGCTAGAGACGTGTGATGAAAAGGAGACATTGGGTGATAAATAAGGCCACTGTAATTGCCAGAAAGTCATGCCAAAATACGGTCACTGGCTTGCTTTCTTGGCTCATCTTCATTTGCTGAGGGAAGAGCCAGGCATTAGGTTCTTAATCTGTAAGTGGCTTCACCACCTGACAGCATCTGTGAAGTTACAGACACATATTGTAATATCCTGGAGAGTCTCCTCTTCCAGTTCCTGATCGGGACTTTGGATCAGTGAGTCAAAGCAGCTATGAAGAAAGAAGTGTTGTGCTTCAGGACATGTGGAGAATTAAAGCTGTCCCTCACGCACCATGACAGTCAATAGAATTGTTACCATTACTGAGAGCTGAGGAACATCCTAATCTCATCGTTAATGCTAGACATCTGTTTAATGGGGTGCAACATTCCTTGTTCTAGTAAGTAGTCCCTTCCAATTAATCCAAGACTCTCCCAAACATGAGGTGGCAAACCAGAACACTGTTCACAAGTCAGAATAGTGATAGCATCTCAAAAGAGAGTTAAAGCCAGGGAAAATAAAACTTTTCTCCACTTTTTTGCTGCTTATGAAGTTTCCATGGTTCAAAGGTTTAAAAAACAAACGAGGGGGAATAGCAAGTCTATGTCAGCTTTTTACTGTTCTCCTTCCTTGCCTTGTCTCCTCCTGCCTGCTGGAGAAGGCCAGCAGAATTGCTAATCAACTCACCTGTCCTGTTTTGTTTTTTACTTAACGTAGACTAAAACCTTTCAAATAGAAAAGGAGGAGCAAACCAACTCAGAAAGGGGCACGTAAGAGTGCTCTAGTAAGGCACTTAGTTCAGAATTACACTGAGTAGTAAATCACTGGTCAGCTCATCTGGGCTGTCATGGTTTAACCTCAGCCGGCAACTGAGCACCACACAGCTGCTCGCTCACTCTCCCCGCCCCCGGTAGGATGGAGGAGAGAATCAGAAGAGTAAAAGTGAGAAAACTCATGGGTTGAGATAAAGACAGTTTAATAATTGGAGTAAAATAAAACAGTAATAATGAAAGAATATACAAAGCGAGTGATGCATGATGCAATTGCTCACCACCCGCTGACTGATGCCCAGCCACGCCCTGAGCAGCGGCCCCCCCCGGCCAGCTTTCCCCAGTTTATGTACTGAGCATGACGTCACATG